CCCTGTTGGCCTTATTGTGGGAGGGCCCCGGGCGCTCTGAGTAGCCGCAGAAGGGTTGCAGCGCCGGGCCCAGAGCAGCGTTAGTGGCATGGCTCGGTGTCCCGAAGCAGAAGAGCGGCCCACCTCTGATATTGAATCAGCGACGGGAAGGCCTCAAGATGAGGTGGATGAGATGGCGCAATGAGCGGCTTTCAGGGCGCGCAGGGCCAGGAGAAAAGCTCTGCAAGGCCATGTGGTCTTCTAGCAGTAATGACCGCCCGGAAGCATGTTCAAGCATTTCCCCTGGCGTTGCGTTCTGTCTGGAGCCGGGGCTGGGGTACTCTGTCTGTCGGGTAGAACTGTAAGTGTACGGATACGCAGGTACTCCGTATACAGAATAGGGACGAGAAGTGTGAGACTGTGAGAAAATCAGTGACAATCAGAAAAGCACGTTTTCGCTCACGTACAGATGTCAAGACCTTCCCCCACTAACCCACAGCAGACGACTGGCTCACCGGCGCAAGCGTGGTTTGCTTGGCTTGGTGCCGAGACCGCAGAAAATCAGATTCGTGCCCTCCACGTCCCAAGTCCTTGGCACCTCATTGGCAGCCCAGGCCATCCCACGATTCCCACTGGCTGGCACCTCGATACGTACCTCAATCATCCTGGGCAGTCAGGACGGAAGGTGCGATTGCCTTGGGCTCTTGCCTCGCACATTAGATGCCTTCATCAGCCGTCCACTCTTTTTTTCTTCTCTTCTTGAGACCTCCTGTTCATTCGCTTCGCTAATGTTCCTGGCGCTGCTGCTGTTGCTATTTGACTGGAACTGGAACTGGAACTGGAACTGTTGCCGACCTCCCGTCTACCTAGACTCCCGTTCCTGCTAGCAGCCGTATCAAAGGGGGTGACTTCCATTGCCAACATCGGATACCTGTAGCGCCAATCCACCTCAGTCCTCCCCCTCCCCAGCCCGGCCATCCTCATCGCCTAATACCTTATCCCACGCGCACCACCACCACACGGCGTCGGCAAACCGAGCCCCTCCACTCCTCATCCCGGTTTTTTCGACCGTGTGTGGCCTATCTGATTTTGGGGTCTGGCAATCTGCAAATCTGAACCTACCCTATCGACCGCTGAACCGCTACCGCCAACAACTACACACTATTACCAACTTACCTTAGGAGCGCCTACATTACATTACATTACACTACACTGCACTACACTCACCTCGCTCACCTTATCCCGCCATTTCAGCTCCAGCTTCGACTGGCAATCACGTCTTATCCGCTCGCTCTGTTGTCCTCGAAATCCCACGATGCGCCCGGGACCATGTTGACAACATCTCCCATCGTCGCCAGCTCCGCCAATGCCTCGCCCAATAGCTTCCACTATGCCCCTACGCGATCCTCCCCGCACTCATCTCCTGCCCGGCTTTCGGCCCCTTTGCCGCGGCGGCACTCTGCATCAAGGTCTTCTCCGTCCGCCGCCTCAATGACCTCACCTTCTTCCCAACCACGCCCACGACAATATGTAGCCGTCGACGCCGGCACCCAATATTCTCCCATGGAGTCTTCCACCCAAAAGGCACAAGATGCCACCACCCCGCGAACTTCTACTACCGTGCCTGCCACGCCTGTCGAACCCCCGCCGACGCCGCGTCCTCAACCCATAGACCCATCCGCGCCGCAACCGCAACCAGAACCCCATCAGCGATCCCAGCCAGAAATAAAATCACAACCCCAACCCGTCGTGGCACCCGTCATTCGCGAGGCGTCGACTACTACCGCGTCGCCCGGAAAACGTCGAAACTCTCAAGATCCTGCCGTCGCGCAAGCGCAGGCGAGCGCTTCAGCAGCGGGCGAGTCGTCGAGCAGCGCGGCTAAGCGTCCAAAGCCCACGGCTGGCCCGCCGAAAATATTGCCCCAGCGATATGAGCTTTGCAGCACCGAGGATATGGTTGTGCTCATATCTCACATGCTCTCAGAGCTGATAGAGACCAACGATGCTCTGGCTCTTCGTTCCGGAAGCCTGACTCGCTTCCACTCAAGGTGAGCAAAAAGCCTTCTTTTCCCAGCCGTCACCCCTGATTTAGCAGCGCTCACTAATCTGTATTTAGAACCGCACCGAGCATTTCAGTACTGGAATATCTCAACAGATTAGCAAAGCATGCGACGTTGACCCCGCCGCTGTTGCTTTCTATGGTCTACTATATTGACCGTCTCTGCGCATTATACCCAGAGTTCACCATTAACACGCTGACTGTCCATCGCTTTCTGATCACGGCTGCCACCGTAGCGGCCAAAGGTCTATCGGATCTGTTTTGGAATAACACAACATATGCGCGTGTGGGAGGCGTTAGAGTCGCCGAGCTCAAGCTGTTGGAGCTTGAGTTTCTATACAGGGTAGACTGGAAGATCGTCCCGAACCCAGAAGTCCTTGTGGCTTACTACCGCGGCCTCGTTGAGCGCTGCCCAGGATTTGCGCTGCAAGATGAAGAAGCGGAAGCGATTGACGAAGACGAGGATTCTGATGAAGTCGAAGATGATGGATCGACAGAGATTTCAGACGGAGGCGCTGACGACAGCGGAGACTCGCCGGACGAAGAGAGCCCGGCCAAGTCGCCGCACGGGGATGAGGCAGGGTCATTGCAGCCCTCGTAACGGCCGTCAAGAGAGTTTCAAGGGTAAATCTTTGTTTGTCAATTTCATTTTGTTAAAAACGGGTAGGCATCACTACTGCCAGAGAGGCATGGCAAAGCGGCGTTTGGAAAGGTGGGATGTTTTGAATGGTTATGAGTGATAGCGGTAATGAATACCACACTGTTCTGAATGATTCTATATTCACGTGCAATTTAAGTTTGATGACATGGTACTGTCTGTACAATGCATCCAAGAACGCCAGAGTTCTTTACACAAGAGACGCTTCCAGAGCGGGCAGTTTGGTGATTGTTTGGGGGCAGACTGAATGGTCGTGTCTGGGGTAAGATACAGTGGAGGTGTTCAGCCGACCTAACCCCGGGCGACCTTCAACCCAAAGCTCTCCATAGAACTTCCCCCCTCCGGTATCTTCCATCTGCAGTTGGTCGCATTTGCACCTCAAAACACCCAGCGCCGTTCTCCCAAGCGCATTTCACAGAAGGGGCCCTAGGTCTACATACGGAAAAAACAATCGGCAAAGATGCGCGCGACAACGATCCTATCGGCGCTCTTCGCAGCGACCCTCGCCGCCGCCGAAACCCGCCTCGCAAAGGTCTACATCGAGCCCGTCACCCTCGCAACCCAACAAAAACCAACCCTCCTCGCCGAGGTCGAGTACGACACAAAACGGCCCGCCGAGGCGAGCGTAGCCTCCTTCGAGGCTCCAGAACTCGCCGACTACCCGGCCGCGACGAAGCTCGTTCGCGTCGGCGTCTACGATCCGGCCACGGCGCAGTGGATTTCCAGCGTGTCGGTCACCTCGACGGAGAACTTTGCCAAGGGATACCAGCCCAACATTGTGCTGAGTGTCGACGGCGCCTCGGGTGAGGTCGTGGGTGCCGGGGTGAAGGGCGTACGGGTTGACGCGGGCGCGACGAGGGATTTCGGACCGCAGGCTGTTGTGAGGGTCGCGGCGCAGGGCAAGACGCCCGAGTTGAATAAGCCTGTTGTGTTGAGTCCTGAGGGACGCAAGGTTGTTCAGGAGGAGAAGCCGTTTTGGCAAAAGTACGTTGCTGTTGCTGTTCCCTTGCCTTATTTGTCTTTGGGGGTCTGTGATGAGTGGATTGCTAACGTTGAGACTCAGGTACTGGTGGTTGATTGCGATCGTCGTCTTGATGACTGTTACTGGTGGAGGAGATGGAAAATAGACGAAGTTCACGGCGGTGAAGATACACTAATAGACCTTTTTCACGTCTACCCGCGAAGTAGGTGCCTCATCTTCTGGCAACCGGTGATATGAGAGGGATCAACTAGTCTCATTTGGACGTGAAGAGCCTCAAGGCAATGCCCATGGTTTCCACTGCCCCTGGACTAAGAATTGTCTCCCTTGCTATAGTATCGAGTAACACTAGAAGACTGATATACAACAGGCAACCGTGTGGCAAAGAATCGATCCTGAAACGATCGCAAATGCATTCTCCGTGGCTCCCCTTTACAAGCCTATAGCTATATCTTGACGCACAAGATTTCTGTTGTAGCCAATTGGACGGCATTGCAAAAGGTACGACAAGAGTTCATGTCATGTATAATGGACTGTTACCTTATTCTCAAGCCGCCGAGTCTTACATTCGACTTCTGCCATCCAGGACACCTCCAATGCGAGAGCTCAGACACCTGACATAAGAAGCAGGCGCCTGGCAGTGGACATCCCGCATTAGGATGCCAAACAACAAAGAAGGGCTTGCTTCCACAGAATGCCTATTGACTACCTATAAGAACACTTCATCCCAAGGAAGCTATGTAGATTATAACACTCCATCCTTTGAAATATAGCTTCGCCGAATGAGATTCTGTTATACCTGATGGATGGGCATACTGTGGAAATAGGTTCTTCTTATTTTCCTTTGTCGTTGCATCTGGCAAGCCTGTACGGCGTATTGGCGCACCAACGTTTGGCAAGCCCACTCTCGCTTAGGTAATCTCGGAGGCATAGCAGGCAGGTCTGACATGGCACGTGCGCGTCAGGCGGATCAGCTCTAGCCCAATCTGAGGCTAGCGCTCGTTGCTCAGAGACGGAGCCTGCAGTGTGCTGCACCACACAAGCCTTGCGCGGAAGCCACTCCTTGAGTCCTTCCACGCAGGCAGTCTTAAAAGCTGGGACCAGGATCGGGGGGAGGTAGGTACGATCCAAGTGATAAATCAATCGAAGTGCCTGCGCAAAGCTTCACCTCCACTTTCCTTTCCCACCTTCCATTCGTACAACCCTCCCACCCAAACTTTCCCAATCCAACCACCACAACTTTTTGCGACAGAGACTACTTCTCTTTCCTCTCCCTCTTTGCGCCAACCCTTGACAGGACCACCAACATCCACGAAACAGACACAATGGCTGCCGAGAACGAGAACGTCGCTGCTGGCCTCGCCGAGGAAACCAAGGGCAAGGGCAAGGCTGTTGCCGCCGAGGAGCCCGTTGAGAAGAGCGACGCCATGGACGAGGATGAGGACTCCAGTGATGAGGAGGAGGCCCCCGAGGCCGCCGAGGCTGGTAAGAAGCAACCCCAACTGCTACGAATCTACCGCACACCTGCGATTCCTGTGACTAACATGCCTGCAAATACAGTCGACGAGGAGGACGGCATGGAGGAGATTGACCTGAGCAATATTGTCGAGGGCGGTCGCCGCACCCGTGGCCGTGTCATCGACTTCGCCAAGGCTGCCGAGGAGAACCCCGCCGAGGAGGAGGATGACGAGGACGATGATGACTTCGCGGCCGACGAGTCCAAGATGGACGAGGACTAAGGAGCGAGTTTACTCTCCTCCATTTTTCTTCCGTCCTTCGTTCATCCCCCCTTCATCGGGATGGCGGTCTCGGCGGCGGTGATGGTTCATCACCATTCATGACGGTTATTGGGAAACGGCACGACACACACATGACGACAAAAACGGGAATGTTAAGGAGGGGCGGTGGATGGTTTACACAAAAGTTATAAGAGGTCTTTGATAATCATTTGCATGCCCCCTACGTCGATGAAAAGACTTGGTGGATTTGGACATTGGCGGCTGAGAGCCTCGGTCGATATTGCAGCTTCTTCGGCGGTGGCGGTGATGTTCATCAATCTGCTGCCCCCTGCCTGATCTTGGCTCGGCGGGATGCCTCTTTATTTATCAGGCCGTTCAGCACGCGATGTCACTAACTTGACTACGAGTGCCATGGAAATGAAGATTATGCGACAATGAGCGGCCCCGAATGCCTGTGCATGTCTACGTGTGTAGTGAATGATGTTGGTTGCGGAAGTGGCATAGGCATAGGTTCATGCGACGCCCGTGTTTTTGTTTTGCAGCAAATTTCTTGTTAGTCCAGAAAGAGCTTATCCACTCGCCAGCTTGGTCGTTGATCAGTGCATGAAGCAGAACTTCATAGGTAAGTACTGACATTGGCGCCACAGGCATTGCCTTGACAAGTTGCGTGTACGTACTCTTCGATTTTCAAGGAACAAGTGTAGTCAATGTAAACCAAACGCATCTGGGGCTGTCATTGCCTCCTCGAGTAAACAATTAGTTCTTAGAAGAGGTTCTTAAAGCGCAAGGTCTTTGCTAGTACAGCTTGAAGTTGGCGAACGAGAGGTCGATAGAGATGCTCATAAGCTACTTAGGTACCTGGTGTGGTAGGCCCGTCCATTCCTTCCGCTGTCAGCATCGGAGGGAAGACTTCCAGCCGGAGACGGGGCCAGGAAGGGACGTCCGCTTTCATCCTGGATAGGGTGCCTCCTTGTGTCCTTTGGTGCCTTGCTCGGGACTTTTTAGGTTCATCTCCGTTTTCGATTGGATAGCGGGACGACACGTACCCAAATTGCTGTTAGCGGGCCGTGAGCTTTTGGGGAACCCATGGAAATATCAGAGTTGCAAAGTACATTGGATGTGGACAGGAAACCGAGGGACGTGTCTTCCCCTCTATCTCTGTTGAGACTGTAAAGCTGGCTGGAGGTACTTTACGCGAACGTCCACCGTGTCAGGCTCTTCCCATTCCCCTTTCCCACGCATGAAACCCCAGCAAGCTCGCCTCGTTTTTGACTATAATCCACCACAGACGTCAAAAGTCAAAAGGAGGGAGTTTGAGCCGCTACAAAAAATAAAAATTATAGAGATCGCCCAGCCGAGATTCGACACAGACCTACGAATACCCTGCCCGCACAGCATAGACCCCTGCTCTAGCACACCTTGCCAACCGGACCGACATTGAATGACAACACAACTTCCAGGGGTTCAAGGAACGAGAGAGGTCTGATTCTGTACGGAGTACAAGGGCCAACCAGAAAAAAGTTGATTCTTGTTATCGGGATTGTCTAATTAGCACCAAACACCTCCTCCACCCCTTTTTCTTTGAAGCAACAACTCCTCAGGTATTCGAGACATTCCAACGTGTTGTCGCGGACGACGCCCGGTACTACAACACACGCCGACCCAAAATTCGACACTTTTTCTTTTTTTTGCTTCGAGGCAGCAGCTGTGCGCGCGCGACACAGGACGCGACGGTCAGGACACCATGGCTTCGAGGTGCGTATACTAGACTCGACGGAATTCCCACCACACACACACACAACGCACGCGGTTTGGAATCGCTGGATGGAAAGCAACGGCTCGCGGTTAGGTTGCGACTTTCGCAGGCGGTTTTCGAGAAAGTGTCGAGGGAGCTGGGAGAGGTCCGTCCTGAAGACCGGCAAAGTGGTGATGACGGCCCCCGCCCTCGATCACGAACTCTCCACGAGGCCGACGAGCTGAACCACCAGCAAGACCGAACCGACCGACAACCCGTTTTGCGCGACAGCACATGTCATTCACAATCGGAAACCCTCTTGAGCAGTGTGCTAACTCTCTACGACACACAGATTCGGCGCCTCCTCGCTACACCAGCGCGACTCCCGTAGCGCCCTCTTCGAAGGCTACACCGGCGGTGGCGGCAGCGACAACGGTCGACGGCCTGTCAGCGCCTCGCCGTCCAGACTGGGCGGGGGCTACGGTTACAGGTACGCGGGCGGCAGCGCGTCGCCTGCGCCGCCCATGGGTGGGAGCCACCTCGGTGTTGACGCGAACCGGGGGTTCCGGCCTGCGACGCCGAATAAACGGTACGGAACGAAACGATTCCCCCAACTACCTTTGGAAGTCCCGTTTGCGATGGGGCGACCAGAGAAGGAGGACAAGCTCTCTAAGATTGGGGGCAACTTGCTGACGGTTGTTACATATCAGAGGCCAGTACAGCGACGCCGTGCTCAACGAGCTCGAGAGCCAGAATGACGACCAGGTCGCGGGTATCATGGGCAAAGTCAAGATCTTGAAGAGCGTAAGTTCTGCCTCCTCAACCGTATCCCCCTTTCCTCCCATCCCCGCCATTTCCCATACAGTGTCACCAGACGCATAACATGTAACTAAATCTTGAGGCGCGCAGATGACGGTAGCCATCGGCGACGAGATCCGCGACTCCTCGGCCCTGGCAGAGAAGATGAACGACAGCTTCGACTCGACGCGCCTGCGCATCCGCGGGACCATGAACCGCATGCTCGTCATGGCGGAGAAGACGGGCGTCGGCTGGAAGGTCTGGCTCGGCTTCTTCGCGGCAGTGTGTTTCTTGTTCATGTACGTCTGGCTCTTCTAAAAAGCGGCCGGACCGACGAACTACGGCTACGACTATGACCGGCGAGAAAGCAGGGGAAGGAACGCCGCGAAATTCGATCGTTAGGGGCGTGATTACGGAACACGTACGTCTACAAGCATGAAAATTGTTCGTGCTTGGAGAGGGTGAACGGCTTCTCCTGCTACGTGGGCTTCTGTCGAGGTCGTCAACATGGATGAAATGATGCTGCAAGCCAACGCGATCATCAAGAGGGCGCAGCGAGCTCAGAAGATTGGGATCAACGCGCTGTCCGCGCCGAACGCTCTAGGCGCCAGAAACGAGTAGCAGGAGGAGGGAGGGGGTGTAGTCGCCCTCTCGGAACAGTGCGGTGCATCTGGTTGGGAAGCAACCTGTTTTTTTGCATGCTCGGCGTTGGAGGCGTTTTCGAAACAGTTTCTATTTGCCTGGAACCATCCATGTCTCAAGGAGAGAGCAAGAGAGTCTTGATGGGATCTTGGTTTCCTTTTCAAAGCATTTGAGACACGAGGAAAGAGATGAACGATCACGAAAGGACGTCCTGATATGAAGAAGTCAGGGTGGGCAGAAGGGCATGGTCTCTTTTTGCTTTAGGGTGTGCATACATTCGAGGAGAGGGGTAAGGAAGAGGTTGCGGTTTCTCTTTCACTTGTCAAGTATTGGGACACAAATTAAAAGCTTTTGTAATGGCCGTGTATACACTTTTTTTTCTATAATTTCACAACGTTTCTACACTAAGTACTGGATACTCCTGTCTTGCGCTTTGTGACTTCGTGACAAGCGACCACTACGCGCTACCATCTCTAAATCTCGAATATTGGTGTATGCATGCTGTTTCCTAACAGGCTCGTGAACGCGGGGGACATCTCTACGCCTATCGCTCCGTGCCTCTCAAACAATGTATGTGACGGGTAAGGGGGGTATCATGATTCCATCTTCCTCTCTCTCATCCCCTCAACGCCTATGAGCCCTCATGTTGGGACTACTATCCATCATACTACTCCCATCCGCAGAAAGCAACCCGCTAAGATCCATACTACTCCTCGGCACATGATGACGATACCTCGCCGCACCAGCAGCGCTTCCCCGTCCCCGATCCCCAGTCGGACTCAGCGGAGCCCTCAAAGGCGCAGCCCTCGGCGCAAAACTGATATCCCCTTCCTCCTCATCATCCTCATCCTCTTCCTCTCCGCCACTGCTAATAACACTGCTCGTCAACCCGCTCACCTCGGCTTCCGAGTCGGTATGCTCGTACACCCCGCTCAGCCCCTCCGCCTCGGGAATCTCATCGTCCAGATCGGCGTCCATGTCGACGCCCATACCCAAGTCGTCGTCGTCGACGTCAAGAAGACCGTCCTCGCCGGGCTCAAGCAGGTCCTCCTCGTCGAGCATCTGGCCCTGGCCCGAGGCCTCGAGCTCCTCTTCGGCGCCGTACATGTCGTCGCCGTCGACGTCGCCCCTTGCCATGGCCTGTCTGAAGGCATCGTCCGCCATCCGCATCCTCGCCGCGACAAGACCATCCCGCCTCTCGTACTCGTCCTCGTCCACGGCCGTTGCATCGTCGTCTTCGTCGTCCTCTTCGTCGTCATCGTCCTCCTCCTCCTCAGTCTCCTCGTCATCATTCTCATCAAGAGAAAGAGGCCGCCCCTCACTAGACGACAAATCATCCGCCATACTATCCTCCCCACCATCGAACCCAAAACTCTCCTCCCCAGCATCCGGAATCTCATCATCCAGATCTCTCACCTCTTCCTGCTCCCCATCCTCCTCCCCTTCCCCAAGCACCCCCAGCCCCCCGCCATCATCACCATCCGCCCCGCCCGCCTCTGCCTCAGCGAGCTCAAGCGCAAGCTGCTCCCGCCTCATCGCCTCAGCGTGCTCCTCCTGCTCCCGCCGCTCCTCGCGGATCTGGTGCAGCGTCTTGGGCACGCCGGGCGGCTTCAGCCACGTGCTCCCAAAGTTTTGCACATGCAGTCTGCGGCGGTCCATTGTGTGTTCGTCGGCGCGGAGGCGGGCTAGCGCGGAGCGTTCGATGAGGAGATGGCCTGCGCGGCGGGAGGAAGAGCTGTTTTGTTGTTGTTGCTGTTGCTGCTGCTGCTGCTGCTGTTGTTGTTGGGCGGAGGAGCCATGATGGTTGTTGTGTTCGTGGGCTTCGAGGAGGGCGGCTTGGGTTATTGGGTTGCGGGAGGAGGTGTACCAGATTGAGTGTGACTATTGATACTGAGTTCAGATGGCTGCCACGATAGTTGCGCTGGAAGGGGGAATGGATAGTTTGGGAGAGGTAAGTTGAGGCCGGGGAGCTTACATCTCGTGGAGTGAGATCTGGTAGGAGGCCGAACATTGTGACTCGCAGGATGCCGTCAGGCAATGCTCTAGAATCGCGAGTGATTCAATGACTTGATGCGCGGGAAGAAATTGATGCCAGAGAAAGCCGAATGGGAGCTGTTTCGTAGCTGTCGAGAGCTTTCGTCGCAATTGGCACAGGACCCCGCTGCAAGTTGCTGGTCGCGAGGTTGCAAAGAGTAAACAGTTCGACAGTACGTACTCGCCGGGGGTGTAAGGGTCTACCCCACACTGCCAGACGCGCCGCGCCTAGCGCGCTTAATCCCTGCGAAGAGGAAGTCACGATGCTTCATTGCGGGCGGCAGAAATGTGGTCGACTGCCTCATAAATTCAACGACATGTCTTCATAGCATGCCACCAATTCGAACACTCACGATGGCTTCGTCGCAAAGCAATGTGTGGGTGCCTGGGAGTTTGCCATCTTCATACCCCTCCGTCAGGCTAACACCAGAACATTAGAGAAAAAAAATCTGCTCAAACCCAATTGAGAGTCTCCGCCAATTCGACCGAGGGACTCTTCCCTCCGTCGGGACTTAGACCCATGAGTTTCCCACCGCCAGAACTGCTTTGCGGCTTGCGTTGCATCAATCTCAGACCCAACTTATTGAGTCTGGGCTCTCTGGTTGCTAGGTTTCACCCAAACTGCGTGGGCTGAGCTCTCGGGCGCCTACGTCTTCTCGTTTCCAAGGGGGCTTACTGTTTTCGTTTGGTAAGTGGAAACAGGGGTTTGTATTCGTTTTCCGTCCATTCACATTCTCTACGCTTCTGCGCCAACTCTCGTCTGCCATTGATTCGCATAGCGACGGGGAAATGAGGGACCAGCGCATTCGCCCCGCGCCGCTCTGATGTGTCTCGTCGGGAGAAATCGGAACATCGCTGACTTCGGAGTTGCTGGCATTGGCTGTGCAAGTGGAGGTTTCAAATGCCATATTTCCGCTTTGTGGGAATTCCTCGCGGCCATGGGCTGACTCGAGTGGACTCTCTCTTCTGCCCGTTTATTTTTTCGCTTCTGTCCTAGACCTAATACCGAGCAACTAAGCAAGACGCCCCCTGCAAGTTGGTATGGGATGGGGTCTGAGGGCGTGGTCGCCTCCGATATAGGTCCCAGAACGCCAGCCAGGGGTCACATCCGCCCGGCCCTAGTTAGGGTGAACGGCCGAGCCGACTTCGGGGGGGCTTGGTTAGCGCCATGGGTAAATGGCAGATGCCATGTCGGCCCCAGCTTCGCTTCGTGTCGTGACAAACTCCACAAAGACGTGTGAAAATGGAAACAAACATTTCCAGAGCCAGGCCAGACATTTATAATTCCTGTCGTTCAAGTTGCCGACCAGAAGCCCGCTAAACATGCTCCAAGTACGGAGCTTGGTATGTCACTGATATGTATAGTCGGACAATTGATTTGAGACTACAATCACAGAGCTGTTCATTCGTCCCCGTGTTCTAGCCGACCGTATGGATCCAATATGAGACGCCTTCCTATAATATTGAAGCGTCATTGTTGCTCAGGTGCGGGGATGGAGGGTTGCTCCAGGAAGGCATAGGTGACCATAACCGCTCTCAGGTTGTAGTATTCTGTCCATCCAGATCAAGGATGCAGACACGTGCTGGTCGACAGGCTAGCCTGCGAAACCCTAAGTCAGTCCCGAACCGACCAGCCTTTCTCACAAACTTTAAACCCAGATCAAAAATACCTATGGTATGTACTTGCGTGCGTGTGCGAACAAGCATCTGTTTGTGCACTTTGGTGACACTTGTGACGTAGCCCATGCATGCGTCGTTCCCAGGCGTGTCACCATCGAGTGCGGAAGTGCCTTTCATGTGGCTGGCATGTCTGTGCCGCTTCTCAGCATGCTACCTTGGACGTTGGAATCCCGTCGGAGATAGCCCCTTCCTTCCTCTCCTTTTCTCCCCCTCCCCTCCAGCTCCAGAAGCCAAGAGACCACGAACGTCTGTGCGTGGACACAGACAGGGTCGTGCTGAGCAAGGAACTGCGAGATCTCGAACGCCTCCGGTCGGCGGGGTCGCGGTTGGCATGGATGTGCCGACTAGGGTGATACCTGGCTTGCTATAGCTCAGATGCAGTTGCAACGAGTGGCCACCATGGTTGGCTCGAGATAAGACGGTTGAAGATGAGGCTCTAGTTGTGATTGGCCAGCTTCTCCAATTTCAAGTTGTCGATTTTTTGACAGCAACCCTTTTCGAGTTGGGCAACAACTGTCGATGCTGCAATGCAGTCAGACGCCCAACTCGCCAGATGATATGCCGGACAAAATGAAGAGGGTGACTAGTTGCCTTTTCGAGTACCATTCTGTACAGCAACGGAACGTGTTCCCATCTCATCTCTCTGCTGTCGCGCCGTTCCCTGCCCGCATGTGCTCGGTGCTGCCCGCCATTGGCTAGCCTTCCCGTAAAGCCCGTATTGCTTGCAGTTGCGACGTGCGTCGCGCCTGGAACATCGCTTTCGCGGAGCAGACCGCACTCAAGCTGCGTCCTTCTGCGTCCTTCTGCTGAGCGGATCTTGCATTGGGGGAGGGGGGGCTCATTTGTCAGTCGGTTCGTCCATCGGTATCCGTGATCAATGCCGCCGCAGGCGCTTGAGGAAAAGGCAAAGGTAGCAGCCCAGATGCCCCTGGTCCTTTGTCGGCCGCTGCCGTCCAGCCGGCCGTGGACACCACCAAGTTCCGTAGATCGGAGGGCTGATAGGCAAACAAGACAGATACCGACCGCTCTCATTCGCGATAGGATTTCGGAAACAGCTCGGGATCCGTGCAACATCGAGTCCATGACGCAGCTTGGTTGATCTCGAAATTCGCCATCTTTCGAATATGCCCCGGCTGATAATGCAGTAAAAACAGATACCTAGCGCATGCAGGGCCGCGAGACATTGAAGCCACCCAGTTGACAGATGCTGATTCTGCACGCTAGCAAAGTAACAACAGGTAAGTCTCCCATCAGCATGTGCAAGCGCGCCTCTGAAATGGAACAGATGTTCAACACCATCCCATCCCCTCCCCCAACTTGCTCCCCCAATCACCTGCATCGATGCTGGATTGGCCCTTGTCCAAGAAGGGTCCCGGTCCAATTCCTTGGGGGCATCCTGCCGTTTGTCAGGGGCCCCAAGATCCGAGGCGACTTCGGCCAAGGGCGTCTTTGAATAGCAATTCGCTGATTGGTGCAAGCTCAAAGCTTGCTCGTTGATGACATTAACCTTTCAACGACTCCGTTTCGAGAGTGCAAAGAACGACTGGGTACCCCCTGCTTAGCCCGCATGGAGTGTGTGGGGTGCATCTCTGCTGCTGGATTTGGCCGAGGCGCTGGGTTTTTGTGTCAAAATTCTCTTACACACAGTATTCCGCAAGCTACGCTTGAGCGGAACGGGATTCGCCAGAGAGGACAAGCAAACCATAGGCTGTTGCTGCCCGGGATGTGCGGAAGAAGTTTGACAGCCCAGCGCCCTGTCTGGTAGTTCTGCGTAAAAGTCTCGGGTGACTACCTGAGATGTCTTCCAAGACGTCTTTAGTAGAGCAAACGCAACGCTGAATGACGTTCGGAATACATCCGAAGCAGAGGCGCAGGTGCGCACAGCGTCTGGTCCGCGGAGCAAAGTGCTGGAAGGCATGGTAGTCTGTGGTTTTCTGAAGGACACTCGAACCCAGGAGCGGGTAGAACGTAGAGACCATCAATCTGCGAAGTAAGGTGCCTCATACCGATCGCTGAGGTGCGGTATAGGCCCTCGAAATAGGTACACAATAAACCGCTCCGGTGGCCGCCGGCGTCATATATGCTCGCCGGATCTTCTCAAGCTTGTCGGTCTGGAATTGGGTCACCGCCATTGGCTAAGGCTCTGAGGCGGAATATGGTATATAGCTCCCGAGGCGTGGCATTCCCTAGCGTGCAAAGTCCGGGCGGAATATCCGTACGGAATGAAATGAATAGAACAAGATGCGTTTGTAGGTCGAAGGACGAGTACCCAGTGGAGTGCCCATTTGACCGAAACAATGTTGGTAGCATTGACCTTGCAAGATGAGGAATGCTTCCCGTCGTCACCCATGTTCCCCCAGATGAGGCGACTGGGTTGTACTGTACGTCAGGCAGCCCGAAGTCTTACCTTGAGATTTGAATCCAACGTCGTCCAAATGACGAGAGAGAAAAAAAAACACAGTAGGCAAGCAATGCGGATATGGGGTGAAGCGTTGCTAGGCCGGTAGTACGGCGTGACGGAACACCCAACGGTCAGGGGAGGACCCCGCAAGCAACGTTGGCACGTCCGCCGTGGTGGGAGGGACCCAGTTGGGATTCCGGAGGAGTAGGTGGTGGCGCATGGGGAAGTAGATTGGCGGCAGGTATTGCCTTTGGTGGTAGCTTGAGACGAAGGTTTGGAGCAATGGAGAGACTTTTGAGGAAGCGCGAGGTGGTGAGTGGGTGGATCGATTGTTAGAGTGGTGGGTGATGGGTGAATCGACGGGGAGGAAAGTCGATCGAGGTTGACGTGGCGGAAGATCATCAACATCCTGAAGTGTAGGGCACTCCGGGGAAGCGTGGGATGCCGGGAGTGGTTACTGTGTAGCATTCAAAAGCCGAGACATTGGCCTGAGAAGGCTGTGGTTGGCAGTGCAAGCGGTTCTTCTGTGGTGATCTGGCTACCAATCTGTCTGAATGGCCGTATTCCTATAGAGGAGGGTGGTGTGTCGATGGTGTCTTGCTTCTGGCCGATGTGCGGTGTTCTCTGGCATGTGGTTCTAAGAGAACTCGTTAAGACTCAAGAAAGAGGGGGGCTAAGGGCAGAATGGTGCGCTGGACCGGTCCACTTCCAGGCCATATTCACCCGTGGGCAGGCCACCTGGAAAGGGGGGGATTTCCAAGGTTTGTTGCGTGGTAGTAATCGAACAGCGGCGGGCTTCCCAGGCAATGTCGTGGGAGGCAAGGAGGCTAGCAGGGTGGTGGCATGGTGGAAGTGGTGGCATCACGTTGGAGGACCAGGGGAGGATGGGGCATTGGAGAGAAGCCCACTGAAGAGAGATGGATCATGGACCGAAAAACGGAGCAGGAGAGAAGACGACGCATGCCCCATGGACCGGAGGCGGGGCGGAGAGTGGCACCCGCAAGCAGCCCACGGGTCCCGTTGTGTTAGTGCGCTGTCGAAGAGTCAGAGAAATGGAGACTTCTCGCCAGGCCCTTCCAATGGGAGACATACATGTTGGATTGATCAATGCTTTGATTGGACCGCGCTTCGCCCTCTGTTAAGGTCCATAACTTGTTCGGACCCCACCGTAGTATGGCTCTGTCTTACACCTTGCAGTCTGCTTGGAGTTTCGAAGAAGCGTACCTGTCGAGAACAGAAAAAGGACCACCCTGATGGGATGGGATGGGATGGGATGGGATGGGAGAGAAAGACCGACACGCCCGAGAGGAAGGCAGCAGCAGCAGCAGTGCACAGACACAGCCGCGCCGTCCACGGAGCCTCTCTCACCGATACGTACCCCTCTTTTGGGCTCTTTCCTCCCCTTCCATTTGCTCCTGCCGGCTTTTGTTGCATGACTTCCCATCTCTCTTTCTTGGTCCGAGGTCGTGCCTTCCTTCCATTCTCATCCCATCTCAGTGCTCCCTGTAGCAACTCGCAAGCTCTCGCATTTGGGGTCGGTACGTACCGCCATTTCATCCCACTTTGTCTGCTGCAAACCCCCACTGCTCTTTTTTCGGTCTATTCCCCTCTCAGTACAAGTAGAAACGCGCATGATAAAAACGAGAAGAGAGAGAAAGAAAGGAAAAAAAAAAAAAAAAAAGGAGAGAGAGAGGCAGAGCGCATATGCACCATGAGTACTTGAGCCTACTGCACCTCGCAAATTACCAGGGGAGGGGCCGTATGATTTCTCCAGTAGACGGATATTCTTTAGCCTTGTCTGTCTGCCTGTACCTTGGGTAGTGGATCAACATTTCGCATCAGAGAACCGCTGGTTGGTTAAACCTTTCTCTGGTCGGCTTGCCACAAGGTAAGGTAGAAAAAAGTAAGAAGGCAAGTGCCAGCCCATCGGTCGTCTCTGTCAGGAAAGCGCCAGTATCCCGAAAAGGACCTTTCTGCCGTGTTATCGTCGTTCCGCGCCTCGTCCGTTCTTCGCTCTTGTGCTCTCCGAACCCATTGCCCCCGTTTTCCTGTTGTCTCCATACACAACCGTCTTATTCATCCAAATTGCATTGGCTTCCTCTGGTCTTGGGTTTTCTAGGGAGTCGTTCGGGTGGCCGCCGGCGATCGCCTCCTTCCCATCCATCTTGTCAGTCCCGTCTTGCTACCCCCTCTTCAACCACCCCCCTCCCCCAGCTTGGGCCCAGCGCCGACTCAGGACTTTTACTCCTCCTCCTTCACCCACTCCTCTCTCCCGTCTTCGCCCACACACTTGGGCCAATACACCAAACCTTTCATAAAAGGCTACCCGTCTCCCACCTCCCACCTTTTCTATTTTCCTCTTTCTTCCGCCCTCCCACTCTTCACGCGCGGTGCTACGACGGTAGAAAAGAAACCCTCTCGATCCCACTGCGCAAACATCTCGACCACATACGGTCCTTTACAATACCCAGAGCCTGTCGGTAAGTTATACATGCATGTGCTCACATAGGGACCACCGTCTCATGACCCGAAACACTGTCATTCCATTCCCACTACCTTTCCATCTGCCTTACACACAATGCCACCAACCGTCCAAACCGGCCCAACAGCAAGACGCACAGAGAGACGAGAATCGAATCAGAAGGCGTGAATATGTGAGAGAAGGCGCAGAAGAACAGAGAGAGACAAGAGTATCACAACCGAGATACCGAGAAAGCAGCACTTGAGCAGACCAGACCAGACCATACGAACACGGCGAAGCGAATCTGAGCCATACCTTGAATGCGAGAGCAGCGTCGGCAGCACCAATGGCTTTGAAAATAGCAGCAACAACGGCAACGGCTTTTGACGGCGCATCAATACGCAGCGATTTTGGCATCTCCGTCCTCCGTCCCAACTCTCTTTTTTCTGGGACAGTCGCACATTCTCTCCTGCACAGCGCTACACATGCACCCTTTTTCTCTTGGGTATGCGCCTACGACTGCAGACGACCCCACACACCCGTAGGCCCAGACGAGCGACCCCTGGTCGTAATCCCTGTGGGTGTGATGTAAGGTCACCGCGGGAATGGAGCTTGCAGTCGCCTATCAATCCCCCCAAGCCAAAACAACACACCCAAAAAAAAAAAAAAAAAAAAAAATCTTGGAGGGGTTGTCGGCCGGTGGCGGCCTAGCACGGGCGGGACTGGCGTGTGCGACCATGTGCTTGTTCCCCCATTTCTACGACAGATTTGGGGCCGGCGACTGGCGTCACCATTCTTAGCCGCATGCTTTGGCAACAGCCTGCTTCTCATTGGCTACAGCCCTTGTGGCGGTACAGCATCAGGAAGCACGGCCGCGCCGGCACCGCATTTTGCATGGAATGCTGCCCTGCGGGCACTGGCAATGGCACTGGCAATGCTGCAATCATCTTACATTGTCTGCTTGTCTAGCCGTGGTCGGCAAAAGGAGAAACAGAGCTGCTTTTGGGTTGGATGGATACGGCTGGGACTGTTGCTTGCCAGCTGCTTGCTTGCTCTTGTCCTAGCTTGCCCCTCCATCCCCGGCTTCGATTGCTTGGTTTGAGCGTTGCTCGCCTCATCTTGCCTCGCTTCCACTGCTACCGACAATGCACCTCCTGAAGCCACGTTCTGCCGCCATTGCTTGTTGCATGTGTTGCTGCTTGCTACCTTTTGCGCATTGTTGCTCGGAATGCTTGTCCGCCCGTCTTGGCTCTACGTCGTTGCGAACAGGGGTCGGGAATCACCACCACCACCAGGCTCTCACTCCTTCCTCAGTTTACCTGATGATCCCTCACTTCCGGACGATGTAGCAATCCGGTTCGGGAGTAGGGTTTGGCCTGCTCTGGAAATTTCCCCTCTGGTCCTCCGTGCGTATCCCGCCAGCTCCGAGCTTAATTGAAGGATATCGCACCCCGCATCCAGTTTCCTCCAACGATTTCTCCTCGCCACTCTTCTCTCACTCTCAAACTCGCTGTCAACCATTCGCCTTATCAGTCTCTCTATCTCTCACTTTCGTGGCCCAAAAACACTCGTGTGCTCTGTGCGACTTTGCGTCTGGCCATTGGGCGCTCACTTCCCCTCATCTCACCACCGTTGAATTCAAACCATACTTGACCTACACCATCTCCATCTCAGCGTCACTAACTGAACCCGTTTTTGGGCGTTACAGATTCGTACCAGAGCCATTGCTCCTACCTATCGACTGCTGCCGACTGGAATAGTCCCTCCCCCGTCGATCTATACCAGCCTCTTCCACTGCAGTCAGGCTCGAATCCTCGCCTAGCATGGGCCTGCACGAGGACTTCGACGACCGACAAACCCATATTGAATCTGAAAAAGAGCAATACACTCCCTATGAGTACCAGACGGACAACAATGGCTCCTGGGCGGGTGCTCTGCCGGTGAAGCAGTATGTTTTCTTGTCACACGTGCTTTGAAATTTGCCATACTGACAATTGAACCTAGAGGATTGTACGATCCGAGCTTGGAGAAAGACGCATGCGGTGTTGGCTTTGCTTGGTATGTCTAGAAGACCTGGCAGAGAATTATTCTCAGCTCTCAACAAGCAACCACTGACACCTCTCGCAGCCACATCAAGGGCAAGCCCAGCCACAAGATTGTCAGCGATGGTGAGTTGAACATTTCCTCTACCCAGTTCTTGCCCAGCAGTCCGGCTAACTAGTCTCGCAGCGCGCAACCTGCTTTGCAACATGACCCACAGAGGTGCTGTGGGATCTGATGCACGAGACGGTGATGGCGCTGGCGTCATGACTTCGATCCCTCACAGGTTCTTTGTCAAGAACTTTGAAAAGGAGGAAGGCATTAAGTTGCCGCCTCTGGGACAATATGCCACGGGAAACCTGTTCTTTAAGCCAGACGAGGAGACTTTGCAAGAGTCCAAGAGGCAGTTGGAAGACATTGCCGAATCGTTAGGCCTGCGCGTCTTGGGATGGCGAAGGCCTCCCGTTGACTCGACTTTGCTTGGTCCTGCTGCCAAGTCCCGTGAACCCATCATCATGCAACCTTTCGTCGTGTTGACCTCCGCCTACGGCCCGACCAACGCCCCCGAAAACACCGACCCCGAGCAATTTGATGACAGACTCTTCGAAAGACAGTTGTATGTTCTCAGAAAGCGCGCCACCCATACCATTGGTCTCCAGAACTGGTTCTACCTCTGCTCCCTTTCCAACAAGAACATTGTCTACAAGGGACAGCTGTCTCCCGTCCAGGTTTACCAGTACTACTATGATCTGGTCAACGCCGACTACGAGGCTCACTTCGCTCTCGTCCACTCCCGTTTCTCGACCAACACCTTCCCCTCCTGGGACCGTGCCCAGCCTCTGAGATGGGCTGCTCACAACGGTGAAATCAACACTCTCCGTGGTAACAAGAACTGGATGAAGGCCCGAGAGGGTGTCATGCAGTCCGACATCTTCAAGGAGGAGCTCGAGGGTCTCTACCCCATTGTCGAAGACGGTGGTTCTGACTCTGCCGCTTTCGACAACGTCCTCGAGTTGCTCACCATCAACGGCGTCCTCTCTCTCCCCGAGGCTGTCATGCTCATGGTCCCC